AGACATCAGTGGGAAAAGGAAACCAAGAAGTGCACGGCCACCGTGGCCTCAGGAGCACAAGAAAACCAGGGTGTTGCTGAGACTTGCAGGAAATTGTGTTGCTAGAGGACACATAAGCCGGAGCCCAGGCCCAGCATGCCGAAAGCGTGCCTTCGAGGTAGCCATGAGCTGAGCTCCCAGCCAGGACCTCCATCGTGACTGGAGGAGGCTGCATTTATTCTGCATGGTGGCAGCAAATCTGCATCGCCTTTACTCCACTTCTAATCTCTCCAGCTGTTTCTCTGCCTCTGTAGCTCAATTTTGCCATCTGCTGTCACATCTGCCGCAACACATCCCATTTCCTCTTTCCACCAGACTCAAATTTTCCACTTTTTCATGCATTCCTCTCACACTGTGTGGTTATCTCTGTTCTTTCCCCAAGTCCCATGATGCTATTTATTCTTATTTCTAATTTCCTATGTGCTCAGCCACATTCTTCCCTTCTGCTTGCTCTTTCTTAAGCTCCAATTAGATTCCACCTTTGGAACCCAGAGATTTATTTATATTAACCTTAAAAAATGCCTAGAAAAGCACATTAAGGCTAAGAAACAAACCTGGAAACATAATGAAATGTGTTGCTGAGATGGAAAGGGACCATCACAGCAGTCAGCTCCAATAAAGTCTATTAAGAGAGGTCTCTTATTAATCTCAAAATGATATTCAATTCATTCCTCTCGTTTCTCTTGAAAGGATTTGTATTTCTAACTCAGCACTTCCCTTTTTTTTTTTTTTCAGTATTTCCTCCTGTTTTCTCATTAGCCAATCCCATGTCCCAAAATATTCAGATCTCCCTTTTTAATTGCTTTTCTGTACCTCCTCCATACTAATTGGGTAGTTCAGTCATTATCTTTCACATCAGACGTCCTCTACTCAATTTAATCGGTCATTTTGATACAGACAATTGTTCACAAAGTACTGGGGTCCGGTGAAAATTATTACTTGGACCAAAAGCTAAATCCTTCATTAATTAACCACCTTGCTCCATGGAGCAGAGCCAGACTGCCCAGATATAACACCATTTAGGCTTGACATGGACCCTGAACAAACTAAAACCTGCTTCGCTCTAGCCGCAGGCTCCCAGTGCAAGCCCATAAACGCTGCAATAACTTCAGCAGCTCAGAGCACTGGGGAGAGGCATTAAACCTGGATGATTTCAGGTCTTAGTACTTTGCAGTTTGAGAGGTGGCGGGAGGCAAGGTCTGGGGGGACTGGAGTTTTGGGGAAATGCACGGCAGTTTTAAAGCAAACGCCTTTGCTCATTGCCAGCTCTCTGGGAGGTATGGGAGGCCAGCGAGGGCAAGGTGAAGGTGCACACAGGCAGACTTTGCAGGGAGACCTGCTTCAGCGAGTTCAATGGGCAGCAACAAGTTGTAGCAAAGCAATTCTCAAGGAAACCTGCACCCCACAACATAACAGCACAAGCCTCGCAGCACTGCCAGGGGCCAGGCTGCCTTTTGTCAAAGTTTTCCCAGTCTGAAGCACTGGCCCCTGTAGGGCTTTGCAGCTTATACCCTGTGTATTGTTTTAAGCTGCTTACCGGAGGGTCTTCTTGGCTGCAGTGCTTTATGTTTACTCAAGTGCACTTCTTCTTTGCCTTCCGAGGTAAAAGTCTTAAAAAAAAAAAATCAAGAAATAGTGTGGCCAGCAGGAGCAGGGAAGTGATATTTAGTGGGCATGGTGTTGTTCGGTTGATGGTTGGACTCGATGATCTTGGAGGTCTCTTCCAACCTTAATGATTCTATGATTCTATAAGTAACATTTCCAGATGCCAATGACATGCTCTCTGACAGTCTTTTCTTTCTAAAAACTTGCTGTTTTCATATAGATTTTCTTCACTAGATGCAGAAACTGCATTCTGCGGCTTCCATTGCTTTTGGAAAACAGCATCTCTTTTTTCCTCCAGCTACATTTTAAAAGGCTCCCTTTAACCTTTCACTGAACATACTGACAGCCAGGGTCAGTTCCTCAGAAATTACTTCAATGTATTTTCATTTAAATATAACCCTCCCAGATTCCTTGCTTCCAAGTGCCACTCTAAACCCAAACCTCAGCCTCAGTAATTGGGGTGGATAAAAAGATAAATAAAAATGCTCAGTGACGTGACACTTACAGCTTCCCTACAGCATTTCTGGGCTGCATTTCCACATGGCTGATCAGATCAAACTCACTTTGTTGGCTCCTATTTCTTCTGCCCTCGTGCAGCTCCCCAAGGCAGGGCCTTCAAGTCCAGCCAGCACCACAGAGAATGTGCTAGAACCTTCCCCAGCAAGAGCAAGCCTTGCTCTAAAGAAGTCATTAGTGCAGAGCTAATTAATAAGAGTGAAAGGATTGGCCCAGCCCTGCCAATTGGAAGTTGCAATGAAAATATTGCTGGCTTAATTAGCAGGTTTACTTGGGGGGAAAAAAAAGAAAAAGCTTTTTTTTTTTTTTTTTAAAGGAGTACATCAAAACTGTTTGGGTTATTTTTCCCCTTTTATTCCTTACAGATTTGTGTGGGTTTCATGCCTAGAAGCAGTGTCGGGCACCAGGCCCCTGGGCTCAGCACATGCTGTGTATTTGGGGTAGCAGCAGCCGCATTAACCAGTGTGGTACAGACAGACACAAGTCTCAGCTGAGCAAACCCAGCCTGGGAGCCTGCAGGCCACATCCTCTGTTTGGGGACTCTCTTTTGTCTCCCACAATGTACCTAAACCAGGGTGCACAGGAGGGTGCTGACCCTGGCCGAGACTGAGAGGGACCCCAAAGAGGAACCTCCCCTGTCTCCCCCTAACTCATGGCCTGTGAGAAGATGCTGTAGAGTCAAAAAGTCTCACCACAGCCCTGAGCATGACTAGCGGGGAAGTCCAGAGCTGCCACACAATGTTTTCTTCTGATCAAATACTATTCCCACAACGTGCTCTTACTTCAAGTTGTCATTGCCCGGAGTTGCCACAGCAGGGACTGGTGAACTCCAGGCAATGGAGCTAACAAACGGTGTCATGGATTTGAACCGTCTCCCATGCCTTTCCCGTAGTCACTGCAGCAGAGTTGGTGAGGACCTCAATGACATACACAAAAGGTCTGCAGCGTATCCCATGGATGATCCCCCAGCCTCCATGGCCAGTCCCACTGCACTGACGCCCCCAGGCTGGTTACCAACTCAGTCTGTTCTCTAAAGGCTAAATCTTAACCCAGCTGAAACACAAGCAAGAGAACTCTCAGAAAGGCTGTCATTAGTGTGGTGAAATGATGGGCTTTGCTCTGCCATGCGCCGCCGATCTGCCCTGCAGCCACCCAAAGGCTCCAGTTTTCCCAGCTGACTAGAGGTAAGGTTAGTGCTGCAGAGCTATCATTATGGTCAAATGAGAGACAGCATTTACAGGGCTTGAGGATAACGCTGACTCCTCTTCAGGCACCCCAGAGCCAAGCCAAGGTCCACAGCCCAGAGCCAGACTGCCCCTCTCTGCTAACCACACGTGCCCATGCAGCCCAGTGTCCAAACCATCCCCATCCTCAGGGTCAGCTCTAAGCACAACACAGGGATATGTCTGAGCAGCTAAACAGCCACAGCCTGTTTGCCAGCTCTGCCACACCAAAGTCCTGGGAACAGGGATGGCAGGTCCTGCTGGTGTCCCTGAGGACGGGGTAGGAGTGTGGGGGCAGCTTGTTGTTGTGGAGAAGGACTGGGGACAATTTCTGTCCCCAGCAGCAGCAATGTTCTCCCCCTCAGCCCTTCGGTCCCACTAAAAGCAGTAGAAGGCGAATGCCACCCTTCACCTCTTCTTCTTCACTGTTTTTAGTGTCCCCAGAGCCTTTCCATGGAGATCACAGGATTTTTGCCTACGCTGCTCAGAAACACTGAGGTGGCTTCACCCACCTCCCATGGGCACCTGAAGGGACAGCCAAGTTTCCAAGATGTAGCTGTGCTCTGCGTTGTGCTTCTCACCTGCAACTTCTCTAAAAGGCAAACGGGCAGCACTGGTGGGACTGGGCACCCCAGCCTCATCCATACAAAACCCAGCCAGAGGGCACTATGCTCCCCTCTGACTATGTGCTAGGGCCCTAAGTTAAGCACCCTGGGGCTGCATGGTGCAGGTCTGCATCGCCAAGCAGACTCCACCACAAGAGCTACTGGTTTTTGCAGCTCGTTATCGTGAGGACCAAAAGGCAACTCCAAACAAACAGCTGGGGATCCCCTATGCACATTGATGGGGGAAGACATGGATTTACAAATGAGTGGTATGGAGGTTTTTGGGGGCAGGATAGAAAAATTTCCCTGCAGGTTGGTCTTCTGGGCATTTTCCCACCTCTGGAAATGCTGCAGTACTCCTTTGGAGAGCTGAGACAGCACACCAGTCATTTCAACACCTGGGGAATAACTAACTCCTGTTCAAATGCCTTAGGATGTGGCATAAAAAATACAATTGCTAGCAGTAAATTACAAATTTTATTAACGTAGCCTCCAAGGGTCATTCAAACATGCTGAATCACAGGCAGCGTTGGTACCCTTTAAGTCATCTGCATTTTTGATTTATACTCGCAGCATTCTTGTGGCTTAATTTTTCTCTTGATTATATAAAAGCAATAAGAACTCTATTTGCTGATTACTTTTTTTTTTGTCAATTTGAAGTTAGGCAGCATTCCATGTTATTTCTTCTCTCTTCTGTTCCTCACAATATAAGTTGTTTTCAAGGAAGAGCATTAGTAAAAAAAGCGAAAAACAAATGGTATTAGTAAGAAGGCAGATACCAGAAACACCTATGAATAATGCATAAAGCACCTTCTCAAAGAAGCTTCTTTATGCAATAAGTTTTAAAGGTGACATGGCAAAATTTGCACAAAGATTTTAAATTTTCACAGTTACAGCTTTGGCCTTTGGTTTACACCCACTGATATTTTGAGGGCTCATAAGCTTCTCTCAATGCAGCATGAAACAGGCCCTTTTTATTTTCCATGGCATCTACAGATGATATAGGAGCTCTTCACAGGGAAAAGATGCTGTTTTCTCCTTCAGCACCACTGAAAACTTTTTCAAGGTCTTCCGCTGGTCCATGGCTGTAGTGAGAAGCATAGGTCACTATGCGTGGGGCAAAAGCACATTGCTGCTTCAGAGCATCGTGTCTTATTGGTAATGTCGGCAAATTCCCATTGACATGGAGACCAGAAGCTACTGAGTCCACTCACTTCAATGGTGCAACGCCTACTTTTTACACCAGAGAAGTATTTACCTTGCTTGCATTCTTCTAATGGATAGGAAAGCACTGTTCAGATTTTATAATGACAGCTGTAGGGTAATCACCATGGGATTCAGAAAAGAGTCCCTCCTTGGCCCCCAATCCTTATCTCCTAGGTGGCGTATGCAGTGGGAGACCATCTACAATTGAAAAATTATTGGTCTTTGGCAAAGGGATGATACTTCACTGGACTACCCTGTGGTTTGTCTAGAGAAAATCCTTTTTTCAAGATAAGCCAGAAGACATGAACTTATCAGTTACACCTGCACAAGGTGATTCATCATATATATTTCACATCTGCCTCAAAACGATCACCTCGATGATCACCTCAGATACTTCAGTGTGACCCAAGGAGTGTGTGAGAGGGTGCAGTGGCCCCATGAGAGCTGCAAGAGTTATCTAGTGGTGGAAAGCTTGGTTTGCCACACTGCTGCCGTGTGCCCTTCATGGGACCCATTTTTTGTGTATTGGCATGGATCACCATTCCATGGAGGACTGTCCATAAATCCCTGATCCCTTTCTGCACAATCATTTTGCCAGTTGATCATCATAACCATTTATCTCTTAATTTCTTTAAAATAACCCCACCAGAGTCATGCCCTGGTATTTGATCAAAGAATAAAGCAGATTAGGTATTTCCTTAAGCTGGGGTCACTGCATAACAGTGGGTACCAGTTGCTGAAGTTCTCCAGTGCTCTGGATGTCTGTTACTGCTACACAGAAGCAGTATCCAGGAACCACTGTTTGATTTTTCTGGGGTGAAGTTATCTGAAGCTTGCTCGTAATACAACTTTGGTAGTTGGCACCACAAGCCAATACCACACCCATTACAATCAGTGGCCAATACCTTCCTGCCTCTAAGAAAGATTACATTGGAACTTTTAATAGGAAATTACAAAATAGATTACCTTTTTATTATAAACTTCTTTGTGTGTTTACCTAGAAGCAAAATAATATTAATGTCACAATGGCAAAAAGAAATCTATAATGCTAATGAATCTGTCAAATGAGTTCAGAAGCAAAGATAGCAAGTTGCAAAATTTCTGTGGGCTAAGCAGGAAAGAAAGGATCTCATTCTGATTTAAGTTACACAAATGTCTGTCAGGAGCAATCCCAGGACACTACGGGACCACTTTACTATAAAGCAAGAGCCAACAAGATGAGCCAGACCTGCGACAAGTGAGTGAACAAGTTCTTTGCACAGGCTTCCTCCTGCTGCATTCCCACCAACTCATGCTCCCTGGTCTCCTTGTGGTGACACAGCCCTGGAGTAAGGACAGCAACCCCCATAAAATGAACAGAGTGCTGCCACAGAGGCCATGGCAGATTTACCAGAAGGTTAACCAGAGATACAGAAGGACATCTGCACTAGGCCAGCGTTAGAAACATTAATCAACTATGTGCTTAGGGATACTTACGCTTCCAAAACACCAACGAGAGCATCAGCATGAAAAGAATGGACACCACTATGAGACAGGCAATGAGAATGGCATAGCTGGGAAACTGGAAGGGAGAAGAGACAAACTTAAAAGGCTTTAGAAGCATGTTTACTGCAGACCTATTCATGCAGGAGTGGGTTGCCCTAGTAGCTAAGAGCTCTGAAATATCTGCATTGGGCTGGAGTTTGCAATGCTTTTCTGAGCTTGCCTGTACAAAATATGGAGAAGACACATGAGGTTGATCATGATAAACACCATGAATTACCCGTTAGGTATTTAATAAATCTCCTTCTGAAGCATTTGAGCCTAGATTCATCCCACTTAACATGAACTTCTTAATAAGGTGTCTAAAGTAGGAGCTTAGTCACCCTCATCCTTCTCTTAATTAGAGACAGGGAAGTGAAACAACCCTCCTAAGTTGCCTTTGCCTGGTCACACCCCGAGGATGCTACCTCTGCCTCTCTTACAGGGGTGTCAGGGGGATGAAGTTTTTCTGAAGTGTCCAAACCAGATGGGACGGTCACAAGCTTTGGCTCTATCCACTAGAAAGATAAATAGATGGTTCCTGAGCTTCTAAACAAAAGTTCAAGCTACTGTTTGCAAACACTGTCCCTTTAGTATGAATACATTGAAAATCACTAGCAAGTCCTGCTGTCCTTCTGGCTTCCAGTTAAACACTCTTGAAACAGAGGAAGTTTTACCTTATCGCCATTACCATCATGTTTTTCAGCCTTGCTGTCTGAACTTGCTGAAATCCCTGAAAATAAAAGAGATTGAAATTATTACTGGCACAGTCACATGAAGGAGTGAGGACCACTGTGGTTGTCACTGCTTTAGTCAAGGAGTAGTGAACTCCCAGGGAACGAGGAGGGCAAAATCTGGCCCCGAGTAGGAGAAGTAAAGCACCTTGCAACCAAAAGGGAACAGTCTGTTTCCACCACAAATGGTATATCAGGCAGTTCATTAGGAAATGTCAGTCTTCATCAAGGAAAGAGGAGGCTTCCCAGGGATAGCCCATGAAGCAAGACAGTAGAAACTTGTCTGCTGTGAAGGAGTGTTCACTTCTGTAAGCATGACAAGATGTTATAGCGAGCAGAGGTAGTAAACATGGTACAAGTCTAAATGGAGGAACTGCCTCAGTTTAATTGTGGTCAGACTTAGGTGTGATTGCAGTTTTTGAAAGCTGCATCAGAACTGAAAACCACAGGAAACATCTTTACGTTCAGATAACTTACCACAGGTTTAAGAAAGCTCTATGAAGATAATGCAATTTTTTTCTATCCAGGGATATTAAGAATAATTTAGTTCTAGTTTTCTAAGCTTTGGAAATAGGGATGAACTAAATGAATGCTCAAGAAGTCTTGCAGCAAACTTTTCTGCTGTTATCCTATGATCTTACTCTTACTTTTGCTAGTGAATTTAAAGTCACAAAAAGTTAATCTAGGCTTGGGCCTTGGCTCATCATGACCTCATGATACAAAATACTGAAGTATTTAAGTATTTGGAGCGCTTGATCTGTCACAGGAAGCACCCAATGTTTAGCAGCATCTTAAAAACAGAGGAGTCACTCAGCTTAGTGAATCAAAACCTCAGCGTACATCCTATGACAGGAAAGCTTCCATGCCTTAGGTCATGCCCTAATGTATAGAAAGACTGCGATGAGTAGTGCTTTCAAAGGTTTGACAAAAGAACAACCATGCAGCCTCCATCTGAGCAAACTGTGCCAGCGACCAGATGAGTCATTTGTCAAGGCATGTGTATGTAACACGCTTGCGGTGCCCAAGACCGCAGCCAAAGGAAACTATATGCATGAGACACCCAGAATGTCGCATGGTGATGGGGGTGATCAGGTGGTCACAAATAATCCCATTAGAAAAAAAATAGCTTTTTTTCTTTTTTCTTTTTTTTTTTTTTTACTTTTCAGAGTATGTTATTCAGTGAATAACCTAATCTCCCCCAGATTTCTCAGTTCTGATCAGGTCTTTATGGAGCTGAGCTGATTTGTCTCCATGTACCAAATAACTTGCTTGCATTTTATCAAAGACATGGACAGGGCACAGGTAGCTCATATGCATGTGACTGTAGCTAGAAATTTGCACTGGAGTAGAAAAGAGATTATGGCTAATAATCTACAGCTAAACAAATATAGGTAATAAAACCCTAGCAAGTGCTAAAAATCCCAGGGATAGGTGAACATTGCATTTTGCCATACACCTGTTTTGTGACACCCCTCTTTCGCTCCCACAGAAGAGAACAGTAGTTTAGCAGAACTACCTCCAAATACACAAGAAGTGCATATCTCACTTTGACATGCATGTCCCACAAGTCAAAATTAAACTTTCTGGCAGCATGCTGCAGCCTGGCTGATGGGAGCAACTATTGCTCCTTACTTTGCATACCTGAAGGACCAAGGGTTCTCTTCAGGGTCTGAAGCATGGTTGGCACTGGCGGGGTTGTTGCTGGGGGAAAGCAGATGAAGACAGAAGAGAAA